TTGACCTTGGCCTGCTGCCAGGTGCCCACTCCAATGTTCTATCATTCCCTGCTCCCGCAGCACCACAGGGAAGGAGAAAATAAGATGGATAGAAAAAGGACCTGTGGTTCACAATAAAGTCAGTTTAATAGAGAAAAAAAAAAGGGTTGTGACATGGAGCCCTCTTGTGCTCCCAGCTTAGAGGCACCTTTATTGCTGGCAGTAGCAGAGGGGTTTTAGGTAGTGCCAACTTCTCCTGCCTTTTTTCCTGGTACACATACACAAGCTAGATGAAAAATGCAAGCAAACCCATTTTGACAGTAATTTGGGGGCCCAGGTGGGACCCTGTGGGCTCCCCCCTGGTGAGTGAGGTGATGGCATCTCACCCAGCCAGTACTGGGTGAGTTCCCCCAATTGTCCTTGCAGGATCCACACTGCCTGGGAAGGTCCTGACACTGGGGACACCATCAGTCACTGGGGGTTCAATAGGTAGGGTAAAATGGGGGTCACTGGTGACAGAAATTCAGGAAAAACTGAACAAAATGGACAGTACTTCAGGGCTGCCATCAAGCTGGATGGAATTCTGTGTCAGGATGAGTGGCTGGAGTGCTGGAGGGGAGACCCTCATGTTGCCTTCTGATGCAAGGCAAGGTGACTTGGCTCTGAGGAAACGGCACGGCGACTCAAATTCTCTAGGGTCACTCGGGCTAAGAACACACCCAGGCACTAGTATGGTGGACGGTCTAAGGCCTTTATTGTTTTGTCTTGTCGGGTTTTATACTCAGCAAGATTTCTTCTCTACGTCAGGGGTCTTACTTTACTGTAATTGGTTAGTAAGGAGTTGAAAGTTACTAATGTTAGGGGGGACTACATTCTTGGGTGACCTCTTATCACTAGGCGTTAGGGGGAGAGGAATTCTACTGCTTTCTGTGACATCGCGAGATTTTCCGAGCGCCTAACCCTATCTACTACACCCTCAGAGCACTGGCCCTGGGCGGGGAGGTTCCCCTGGTATGAGTCAGTTGACCTTCCTGCCTCCTATGGGATACATTGAAAGGCAGAATTGCTTCATTCCTGCTCACTGCTCGCCATCACCTTCTTGTCCATCACAGGACAAACTGGAAACAATTTCCAAGGCAGGAAAAGGCAAGTGGAGTGGAGGTGCAGTTGGCAGGCCTAGCGAGGCTCCTGGAAAAGGAATGTGGTGTGCAATGGTTGAGGGAGGAGTAACACCTGGATGATCTTTGTTTTCTAGGAGGAATAACAGGGTAAGACCAGGGAACTGTCTGTGTCACAAAGGGGAAAAAAAAAAAAAGCAGCCTGTGGAAGAACTGACAAACTGCTAACAATGGACATGGAGAAGGCTGAGATAATTCATTTTCTGCTTCAGTTTTCACTGGCAACCTCTCCTCTTATGCCTCTTGAGTTGAGGCTCGAGGCAGGGACTGGGGAAGCAAAGTCCCTCCTACTGTGAGAGAAGATCAGGGTCAAGAGCACCTGAGGAACCTGAACATCCCTGAGTGTGGGACCTGGTGAGATGTGTCTGAGAGTCCTGAGGGAATGGCTGGTGGATTGCCAAGCCATTCTCCATGCCACTTGAAGTCATGGAAGCCATGTGAATTCCCAGGTGACTGGAAGCAGCCTGTGGAGGAAGCAATCAGTGAAATGCTCCCAGGTTCACAGGCAGCAAGCACAGGGAGTGCCCTGGAGCACAGGCTCCTCTGGGTGCCCCCAGTGTGAGCAGCAGTTGCTGGTGGATCCCGTGGGAGTTGCATGTCCAGGCACCAGGATGCACATTCCAAACCACCTTAATGGGCAGCACTTGCTCACAGGACAGCAGCACAACAGCTGAAAGACCTGCAGGGCTAGTTCTGCCTGGGGAAGGGACACAGGGACACTTTGGCCAAGCCCAGCCTATTCATCCAGCTTAGTGCCAGGGTGTGAATGCTGGAGCAGCTCTGGGTTCCTGGTGCCCTGCTCAACCTCCTTTCCTGGTGCATGGCAGTCCCTTGGGCAGTGGCACTTGCCTGCTCTCTGCTCCCATGGTGAGGACATGCACAGAACCAGCCCTGACAGGAGTGTCCTCGTTGCTGTCACCACCAGTGCTGCTCTGACAGGGCAGAATTGCCCTCCAGAAAGCCCTGGGGCTTTTCTCAGGCCCACATGGGGACTTAATTGACCTCCAGGGTGCTCTGAGGCCTCACCTGGGCTTTGCTGGGACCCATTGGAGGCCCTTGCTGCCCTCCACAGGTCCTCCCACTCTAAGAAAGTCTAAACATCCCCAAAAAAATCACTTTTAATTAGAAAGTCACTTCTGTAGATAATCTGGAGGTTGGTATAGGCTACATTTATTGAAGCTTTTTAGCCTCACCTAGATAATCTTCCTTCAAAACAGGACAAAATAGGAGGGCAGCAGGGGAATCCAGTGGGCCTCAGCAAAGCCCAGATGAGATCCTGAGTCACTACAGAGAGTGACCAAAGCAGAGGGGCAGAATCCCCTGCCTGGCCCTGCTGCCTGTGGGGCTTTGGATGCTGCCCAGGGCACGTTTGGGCTGTGTGTGCACAGCTCATGTCCAATAAACCAAACAGAATTCCCAGCCTCTCCTCTGGGCTGCTCTCAATCCATTCACCCCCTGCTCTGCACAGGTGCAGGACCTTGCACTTGGCCTTGCTGAACTTCATGGGGTTCACGTGGGCCTCCAGCCTGTCCAGCTGCCCCTGGACAACGCCCCTTCCCTCCAGTGACTCCCCTGCAGCACTCAGCCTGCTGTCATCCCCAGCCCTGGGGAGGGTGCACAGTGTGGTAGCTGAGTTTGGAGCCCTTCCCTTTGCACAGATGGACAGGGCAGGTCAGCACCTGCCATGGCCTCCTGACAGCTCCTGCAGCTGCCCAGGAACGTTGCCCTTTATCACTAACTTGTGGGGGCCTGTTAGGGTTTTTAGCATAACTCATTGCTGACATTGTAAACTGAGTGTTTTCCATCAAAACTGAAACTTCATTCACTTGATGTTCAAGTTCAGATGTTGTCTGAACCAACACAAGCTGTTTTCCTGATCCAGCTGAAATTTATTCACAGTGGTCCTTCTGGATTATCAGCTTGACCCTTACCCACTTTTCATTAGCTATGTTCTCCAAAACTTTTCTAGGCAAACTGTCTTGCCCCACAGAGGTGAAAAGAGCTCCTCCATGGACTTCACAGGTCATGGCCTGAGGAAATCAAGGTCTACAAACTTCCACCCACATCCCCTCTGTACCACCCCAGCTGGGCCACAACAGGACCAGTGAAATTAAGCACTTTTAGAAGGAAAATCTTAATTAGTCTCTTTGGACACCTTAATTCTGTTCCCGTTGATTTCTTCTTCTTTCTGTTTCTTCTTCATCTGGGCTTTGACTGCACAGGACTCGTTCAGCTTTTGAAAGAGAATAGAATAAGGTGTACAGGGCAATAGAATATGAAGAAAAAAGTATTCTCTTTTATTTAAATTCTTGCTCTATTCAGATAATTAAGTAGAATTATCATAGGAATGAAAATCAAATTTCCCTTCTCCCCAAGGAATCCAAAAAATGTTGCTATGTACAGAATTTACATTTGTATGCAATAGTTGATTATTATTATGGACTCCAAAATTTGGTATTACTGGTTAAAACACCCATACTGAAGCTAGAGCAGGATGTGTCCATCCTGTACCTTTCATAATGTTCTTTAAACGTTACAGGTATCCTTCCAAAATTTTTGCTCTTCCAAGGATGAAAAACCTTCTACACCTTCTTCACATACAGTTACCATCATCCACAGTCTACATAATTAAATTGTATTCCTTTTTAAGCAGGTGAAAAGTCAGGAAAAACAGGCCAGAAGTGCAAATGTGTTTAAGGTTCTCTTTTCTGTTGGAGGCATATGAAAAACAATACAAAGCAGGTGTGAAACAAAAAAATCTACTGATAAATCAACAGCTGTTAGGCATCTTGGTAACTTTGGATAGAAATCCTTTGTTTCATGAATTTTCTTACTTTTGCTTACAAGAGCTTCCTTAGTTTTCATGGATTATTTGGCAGAAAGTTCTTCAGGTTTGGTTCATACTGCTGAATCTTTGTAACTCTAGTCCACGGGCACTACAGACACCCAGTTTATCTTTAAAAATTAGAGGCCATGAAGAACTTGGCAGAATCTCTAACTTCACCTTCAATCAGACAACCACAGAAAGGATTTCAAAGATCCATGTGCAATTAAAAGAACTGGAACTCAGTCCTGGTGTGTTACTAGTAGGACTTTGCTTCTTTAACTCAGCTTCATTTTCCAGTCTGAACCTTCACAGGTGCTCTGCGTAAGGAAAGCTGCCCTGAGCTGTAGGATTGGAGGTTTGTAACCAGGTGTGCTGGGACACACCCGTGTTGCTGATGAGTGCAACTGGACGTGGGGTGAATGTGTCTCCCACAGCCAGAACTGTCACTCTCAGTCCGTGTCAAGGCCCCTTCCTAAGAATCCTTGGGAACAGCCATCCTTGCTGTGCAGCTCAAGGACAGAGCTCTGAGTGCTGTGGCAGGACCTGTGCTTCCCTGCCAGCCCAAAGACAGTCCCCCATAAATCAAGATCAATGTCTGATGAGAGCACAAAGGTATCCTGCTGCTGTCACAAATAGCAGCCTTCAGTCTCCTTATTCAAGTGTATAAAATGCATAGCTGTAAACTGTGCATTGCCCCCTTTCAGTTGCCTGGACATAAAGAACAGTTACTGTCCTTCTGGTACACGAATATGCCACCAGGGGCAGGTGACAGGCAGCAGCAGCGTGTGAGCAGCACTATTCAGATGTGCTCTTCCTGGGATCCTCATGCACCTGAGGTTCACACATTAGCAGCCTTGGCTTTTTAATCAGGGAAATGAAGCATCCATAAGCAACAAAACAAGAGGCTTGAAATCATCCTCATTTGTATTATACAGAATTTCTATATTCATCAGTACACAAGTGATTGCTAAACAGGTCCTCACTACATTTACTTGGATTTCCAAACAAGGTGGTTATTATGCAAACAGGTTAGCTTTGTGGAGGCACCTCCAGGATGAGCTTAACCCCGTCCTGTTCGGTTCCTCTTGCCTGAGCCTTATAGGTCTGTAAATGTTCATGTTCACGTTGTTATAGGGAACGGCGGCGTTCTCGGCGGCCATGTAGTGCGGCTGGTAGTAGTTAGGCTGGATGGGCTGCTGCGGAGGCTGTGGAGGGGGGGGAGTGAAGGACATGTAGCTGTGGAAGGAATTGACTCGCTGCAGAGGTGACTGGGGGCTGAAGTTGCTGTTGAACATGAGCGTTCTGGGGCCCTGCTTGCTCTGGTGGGCGCTGCCGGCCGAGAGGCTGCTCAAGTCGGACAGGGTGTTGGCGCTGCCCTGCTCGCTGTAGGGGAGGCTGCGCGGGGGCGCCCAGCTGCGACTGAACAGGAACGGGAGGCTGCGCGGCGGCGTCCTGGGGCCGCGCACGGGCTTGGACAGCGCGTACAGGTGCCGGAACTCCTCGTCAAACAGCTCCACAACCTGGCCCGTGAACTTGGAGAGGAGGTTGCGGTGCACCTGGCCACAGAGCCACGTGAAGCTGGAAGAAGAGACAAGGTAAGGGTTAGAGTTAACGCCGGCCATCAGGAACTGCAGATCCCCGCAGGGGTGATGCGATAGGCGAATGTGTTTTACTGCTGAAGCTTCTTGTCTAAACACGGGATGAAGATGGTGTCGAAGTTGAATTTCAGGTCAGTTCACATCAGTGCTCTTTAACTTGGATCAATCTTTGTTGTTGCAGCTGCCTCTAAAACCTTCAAGAAACCTAGCAACGTTATGCAACCTCCTGAAGGGAGTGGTGATCCGGATCCACGCACGGATAAATGTCAGATACAATACCCGAGGTACGGGTGTCTGTTCCATGGAAAGGAACCCCTCTTTTGAGGACCTTTCTTCCGTGCACAGTGCTCAAATTCAGGTCTTGCCACGTCTTATCTGCACCCACATAAACTGTACCTTGTACCCTGCAGCATGCCATTCCACTTGGTAACTGTCAGCCACTCCAAGTGACATCAAAAAGACCAGGAAAAAGAACCATCCTTTGTTTCCATTTTTCCATAATCTTTCTGCCTTTGTCCAGAGAAACACTTAAAAACCCCAACCTTCCTGTCACGTCCCATACCACAAAGGAAGCTGCCACACCTGATAACAGCTTGTTTTCTTCACTACACAGAAAATGAAATTACAAATATTTCCTACAGCATTTCCAAAAATAAATGTAATACTTTGCTATAAAGTAAGGGAGAAACACCACAATAGTTTTAATTCTGGTAGTTCAGAGACACACCTTAGGATAACCCACAGCTTTTAAATTATTTTTCTTTTATGTGCTTCCCTAATCCGCTCAGCAAACACAAATTTGCGCTTTTATAAAACCACAAGCCAGCTTGGTTGTGTTGTGCAGGCTGCCGTGTCTGAGCAGCAGCAGCACCAATAAAATGAGCATAGTTGAGAGAATGAAATATAATTACTCCCTGAACTGACCAGGGCTTGAGCTGTGCAGCAGAGGAGACAGAGCAGCAGTGGATTTGAACCTGAGATTATTCTGTGTTGGCAAAACTCTGCCAGGGCTATGCCTGTGTGACTTTATTAGCTATGCTGCATTTGCACAAGGGCTGCTGAGAGCCAGATCTGGCTGTAGGTGTGTGCACTTAAAATCTTGTCATGTTTTGATAAAACTCCTGTGAAGCTCAGTGGGACTGACAGCACGAGCTGATACTGAGGCAGTAGGACAGACAATTTACATCTGCTTGTCCAGAGCATTCCTAAGGAGGGTTGGGTTTGAGGTGTACAGTGATTTTATACTGTTGCTTCAGGAGCAGGGGGAGGAGTGAAGAAATCAGTAGTTCAATGCCACTGGGCATCCATACAATTTATACTGTACATTTTATGACTGGACATGAAAACACATAGTAAGTTACTAAAACTCAGGCACTTCTCATCCACTGTGTTCAAATCATTCTAAATATGAACAAAACCTTGGGAGCCCAGGTAAAGAGCAAGCTAACTCCCTGCTGGGTGTGTAACATCTGTTGTGCCGCCTCAACATTGCCTTTATTCACTGAGCAGTGCTCTCTAAACCTTTGCATGTCCTTATCTGACTGTTAAAGACACAATAGGTCAGGAGTAAATTAAAAAATGCACACAATTTTTCTAGGATATCTATATTGACGGTTAGAAACTCATGAAAGGGCTGAGGTCTAAAGTATCATGTTTATACTTTATGTGCTAGAGATGGACCTAGTTTATAAAAGAAAAGTTAGACAGAAATAAAGATCAATTACACTTGTAAATGGCTGTTAAAAGCCTAATCAGAGGAAAAAACCTATTCTGCCCAATTTTGATAATTTACTCCCACATGTATCCCTTCCTGGAGTACCTGACAGACAGATCCTAGTTTGTGGGTCATTGATTTTACCTGTAACCCTTGTAAACAGAGAAAGATCAAATGAACAGCCCAGAGATTCTCCAAGAACCAATGGCAAGTGGGTCAGCTCAGAGTTACAAGGTAAGATCTTTGTGATTATAGACAAAGCTTGTGGGCTGGTTGTGTAGTGAGTCACAGCAATTTACAGCCTGTGTACTTTGCTGGAGAACAAAACAGAACTTGGCATAAAAGACTTAACAGGTTTTCATTGGCTTAATGCTAAGAGAAGATGCATTGTTTAGGTTTTAGGCCTTGTTTTGCTCCTTAGTTTACAATTGTTTTGCTCCTTAGTTTACAATTGTCTTTTGGGACAGGCTCAGAAAAGTCTGTTATTGTCACCACCTGCCCAGAGGGATCACTTTTCTCCCAGGTTTTTTGGGTGAAGCCCATCAAAAGAGAAAAAAGCACAAAGAAACGATGCCTGGCTTGGGGCCAACACAGACAGATACTGGATACTGCTCAGCCATCTTTCCAGGGCTTTGTCCTATGTCCTGTTACAGACCCTCTCATTTATGGTGTTCTCAATCAAATCCCACCTCTCCTGTTCACCACTGGACTTGTTTTATAATGGGTGTCCTCTGCACTGCTGGAGCTGCAGTTCAGCAGGGATGTTCTCATCCCTGTGTTTGCAGTGCTGCAGCAACGTGCAGCCCAACAGCCATGGAATCTGAAATGGAAGGAAGGACAGACTGGGGTTTCCAGCTGGGCTCGGGTTTGGGTTACCCCAGATGTTCATGTTGCCTGCTGGTACCAGGATAACCTGTGAGGGACAAACCTGCCCCAGCTGAAGCGATGCTCTGGCAAAGCCTGTTCATGTGAGCTGTTGGGTGCTGACTCTGAGGAGGCCAGTGGCTTTCAGAATGGCAGCCAGGGACATACTCAGCTGCCCTTGGGGATCAAGGTCTGTGCTTTCTGCTGTGTTCATTCTGCCTTCTTCAGGAATGCTGAGTTCATGCACTATCTAATTTCAAAGTTGTTAAAAAATGGAATAATAGTTACCATAGGATGAGGTAGAGTGACAGAGACAGCAAAAAGAAATACTGCATTCTCACCCCTCACCATAGGCACTGGCAACAAAAACTGAGAGTGTGTCCTGAAGGGCTATTTTATTTCCTCAGCCTGTTCCCCCCCACTACTATTACAACTATCATGCAGAGCTCAGCATTTCAGGGGAATTTGGTGTTGTGTTTTAAAATCTTTGTATCACTTTTAAGATCTACTCCAATGTGATTTCCAGCAAATGCACTGCAGAAGAGTTTGAGTCTCTTTCACTCAACATCATTCTTGTTTATACCTGAAGAGGTTGGTGGATAAGATTTAGGTATAAAAAAAATCTTTCAGGTTAATAAAGTGAGAGCTAGCAAGAAATGCCACATACTGGTAGCCAGCTATAACTCATGTGAATTGCAAACTGGTGCTGAAGTTAAATAGTTTTTTATCATTTTAAATACATTTGTTCCTCACCACCCTCTCTGTTTATGTGCTAGATGTGGAATTACACAGTTTGACAAGATACTTGAGATTAGAAGATACTCAACAGCAGTAGAGAAAGACAGAAGTGACTGCACAGGACTTCAGGTGTTTTTAGTGCTTTTGGTATTGAAAGAGAAGCCAAAAGGAAGCTTCATCTTGTTCTGTCCTTCTCCCACACATCCTTCACTTCTCTGTACAAGTCTTTTGTTGGATTTTAACACATCTTTGACAAGGGATTAAAAAACACCCAAAAGAACAAGAAAACAAAAGAACAGTCAATAAAAAAGCCCCAACCCTGAGTGTCCACTGAGTTTTGTCTGGTGGTTCATTTGGAAATGTAATGAAATTGGGTGCCTGTGTTAGTGCACATCTGAGCTCCTGCAGCCCTTCCCCACAAATTCACTTTTTCCTTTGTTACTGTAGTTGTGTAAACTTCCTGGTGGCACAGCTTTATCAGACCAGAGGCATTTAAGCTTCCAAATTGTAAACTGGGATTAAGAAAAATAATCACATCCTTTAAATTAAATAATCACCTCTTGTATTTTTGTACCTGGATTTCTAGGATACACTTGGTCATTTGTGAAACATATCTATGTAGCCATGATGCTCAGAAACTTCAATTATTTGATGCAAGCTCAGTCTCCTGAAATTCCCTGACCAGAGGATCTAGGATCTTAATTAAAAATCCAGTTGGTGAGATGCTATATCCACTACCTGAAATAATTATAGCAGCACAAACAAAACAAAGAAAAAAAAATTAAAAAGGGAAAAAACAAAGGTACAGCAGTTATGTAGATATATACTGCCTACCTGTTAATGAAACACATGGAGAAACAGTCTCTGAAGTATTTCTGTTGTACCTTTAATCACTACATTTGTCATATGAAGAACAAATCCTCAGATAAGCTGAGTGACATATGCTAATTAAGGGATCCCGAGGGAGACAGAAATGTATCATGTCTCATGATCACAACACTTGAGAACCCTAACAATGAGGAAAGCATAATATTAAGCTGTACACATTTCTGGCTTTGCCCCAGGGCTGCACTGGCAAAGTTGTTTACATTAGTTTCTGAGCATTTAAATTAAAACCCATGCTCCATAAAGAACTAAGAGCAGCTTTAAAGCAAGTTAAATAGATTTTTGAAAAAGGGCACATATTTGAAAACATGAGGTGTTTTTTGTTAAACAAAAGCTTCTTACCTTACAAAGATTTCCATGGCACTTTTTTTGGGAAGAAGTATTAAAAATCATAGAAGAGTACCTAGAGATGAAGTGCAATGGCTTATCTCACCTGTAAGATCCAGAGAGCACATATCTCCAGTCAGAGATAAGAAATTTTTCTTGAATTTTTCCTGAAAATTTCCTGCCTGACTTGGCACAGTAAACCTCTCCAGTAACACTGCGGACTGAAATATTCTGTAAATAAAAACAAAATTGAGTGAATTACATGTCTTTTTAATTAAAAATCAGACAGGGAGGATCCCCTTCCCCCACTGCCTTTAGCTCTTCACTGCCCCACAGTCAAATTTCTTTATGGACTCTCTGATGTGATATTTGAAGGTTTGTGTCTAAAAGAAATGTAGCCAAGGTCTCTCACTCGCCAGGGGTTACTTGTTGCACTGGGGATAAACCTGCAGGAAGCTCATGCAGGTGGAGCTGAGCTGTGTGACAGGAACTGACCCTACCCCAGCCAAAGGAGCATGGATGTGTCCATAGCTGGGAGCAGCCTTCCACTGACACCCCAGGCACAATCTGCTGTAGCTCTATACTCTGATTACACTGCCTGTGCCATGGCACAGCAGGGCAAAACCTCCGCTCCTCCAGTTCACCTGGGCCTGCAAGGACACACTCTCCTTAGGAGTGAGGGTTTACAGGCATGCAAACACCTATGAACACACATTATTAATTTCAGCTTCTTTATATATTTGGGATGGAATTCAGCTGTTGAAAACCAGGTGTCTGGTGTATGTGTAAGATGCCCTCAGGTCTCCTGTGTGCCCACAGCTGCCATTCCAGAGGTCTGTGGCCTTGCAGTATCCCCCATCCCCATAGCAGCTCTACAGCATCTCAAGCAACAACTGAAATAATCCCTAGGAGGGATTCTTTTAAAGCCAGCTCCTTCTGACAGAGATGAAGGCAGATTAAACTAACAGCCACCTGAATTTGAGAGCTTTTAACATATTTTATCAGAAATATGTTAAAATTTTAAAAGAGCTTTAACATATTTTATCAGAAACCACACAGTGCAACCAAGCTATGGCTATGCAAAAGAGTTTTGTGCACCTTGTCCCTGTGGCTGCCAGACCACAGCTGCTGCAGAGCTATTAAACAGAAGCAGCTCTAATGCCTATGTTAGATAACTCTACTAGGGAAATCTAAGTCCTGTTTTAAGACTTCAGGGCCAAGATTACTTTCATCTGGGGACCTAATGGAAATGCCTTACCTTTCTATAATATCCATGGGAAAACGTAGGCATCTTCAAAGAGGAATTGGGTGTGCTAACACTACCCCAGGAAATCTCTTGCACCCTTTTAATTAGAAGGTGGATTGACCCCAGCATAACCATGCTTGCAGCTCAGAGTGCCTGCAGTTAGGCAGACAGCTCTCAGCCCAGGAGCTCCACAGAGCCACAGTACCTTGAAGAGATCCTCAGAAATCTGCAGCTTGTCGCACATCTCCGAGAAGAGATCTACGCTGCTGTGATCGAGCAGCAGGTAAACAAAGACCATGCGCTTGTTAGCTGCCTCCAGCAGGTCACAGAGAATCTCAGTGTCTGTGAACACATCCATCACAATGGCCAACACCTTCAGAAAGGAGCAGAGGCATTAGCAGAGTCCATTTACATCACTTAAGGTTGCTATGAGGACACGGTGATGTGGTTTATTTGTTTAAAAACATTCCAATAAACACAAATATTTAGTTATATGTGGATATTTTTTCTGGTTTTCTCCCTATAAGTGCCTGAATCATTAAATTGATTAAACATATTGTCTCATTGTTTTATTCCTCATATAAAGCCAGTATAACACACAACATATGACAAGATGACACATGAATTTGTAGGTGAGATTTCAGCACTAGGAAATATATTGAAATACTTATCAGAGAATGATAAGGATGTGGCTAAATAAAAGACCATGGCTCTTTCCACAAGGCTCACTAGGTGTCATAAGCCACACACATTCTGCAAGAATCCCTGGATGATGCTTTCTCTTTTATGATTTACACCTGGACAGCCCTGGCTTTAAAAGGCCTCACCCTGTTGGTGGTGGTGGTGGGTAGACTCCAACAGCTCCATGTTTTTTTAAATACTGATTTATAAACTAACTGTTAGAATTTGACCACACATTCATGCTCCCCAGTTCACAACTGGCAGAATATTGTAAAAGTCTCAGGACTGGGCATAAAAGCCCTGACAACTATTTAAATGCACAGCCTGCAGCCAGTGTGGATCAAGGGAACTGCAAATGTGATACAAAACCAGCTCCATCCTAGAAAGTGCTGGTCTTGTCTGATGTCTGCCCATGGAAAGGTCAATTCAGCCCAGAAATCACCTGACTTATCTTCAGGAGGTTCTTGTTTCTCCACTGACTGGAGAGGGACCTTTGATAACTGCTCATGGGATATCACCTCAATCAAAACAAACTTTCCAGCATCTCTGTAGATGTCTCTTATTAACTGCTTCCAGCTTGCTCTGAATCTCACTCCAAAGCCTAAGCCCACACCTAACAGCAAGCTCATTCCCCCTGCCACCATGAGGATATGCTACAAGACCAGGCACATCCTGTGCAGCCATCGTCCTCTTCAGGCAGCCAAACTCTCTGAGGAGCAGTGAGGATCCCACACCTTCCTCCTGCTGCCAAAGCCTGGTGCTTCAGAAGGAGCTTTGCCATGGCTAGGTGAGCACAATTATGTCAAATATCTCACACCCACCCTTCCTGTTAATGCCCCAGCTCCAGACTATTCTCTCTGGTTCTGCTCTTTACCACCTGTTCCCAGTTTATATTTCTGTACCTGTCTTTCCTCTCTTACTTGCAGCACTCTTCATTTCTTATGCTGGAATTTCATTTTGTGATTTGCACCAATTCCACAAATGTGTTAAAATTGTAGCATCCTTTGGCAATCCTTTGCAGTTTCAGATCATCCATAAACACAGTCTTTATTCTGCTATTTAATTGTGTAATGCATATATCAAATACCAGGCTATTCAGGATGGACCCTTACCAGATGATAATTAATAACTGGTGCCATTGGAAAACTGTGCTCAAAAAGCAGTTCACAAATTTGTACTGTTAGTGTCACTTCAGCACACTCTTGTAATGTAAATTAGATTATTAAGAAGATCAGGTGAATCATGGGTTTATATGACATTTCCCAATTTTTCACCTACAAGTTTTCTCTTCTTGGGACAGAAAATTGGTCTGGGTGATATTTTACCTGATACCTATTTTATTATTCCAGAGACATTTCTTCTGTTTCTGCATCTTTCTGATGCCTCCAACTTAAAAGTACATGACATTTAATTCTGCTGGTGTGGTAAGCACTTGTAGGCTTTGAGAGCAGTTGCCAACAGGGATCCTTCTCTCCTGCCCTTACACTCTGTGCTATCAGGGCCAGCACCTGCCCTTGCAGGGGAAAAACAAAGTGGAAGAATCCAAAGGACAGGGAAGTCTGTGCTGGGCAGCACCACTGCATCCTGGCTTGGCTCCTGACCATTCCTGGGTGAAACTGCCCCTGCTCTTTTGAATTTATATAAGGGCAAAACTCGTGGATGATGGTAAACACAGCCCTGAAGTACCTTTTTTTTTTTCCTAGGGAAACAAGAGAGCTGCTAGAACACACATGACATCAGTTTTCTGTCCCACTCCAGCTGCTCAGTTCCTGGTTTCCCAGGCAGCCTGGCTGTGGCTTGTGGCTGGCACCTCTGTGGCCTCCACCACCTGTGTGCAGTCAGAGGCACCTGCACCTTTCCCACATGCCAGGTTATGCGGCAGAGTCTCTGTATGGAGCCCACATGATGTTTTAACTGATACAGGCAACATTTTAGGGATGAAAGGTCTATTTTCTGGATCATTTCCTTCCTCTGGGAATGGCTGCTGACATACCAGACATACTTGCCTTTCTTTGGCCTCCCCTTCACCCACACCTCCCACAGATCCTCTCAACAATTCCTAATGGCTGAGAGCTCACTTAGGCTTAATTCTCATTAATGGTGCAGTGGTGTGAGCAGATAAACCCATCCTGCTGGGGTGGTGCATGAGAAGGGACAGAGCCAAGCTGCCCTTTCTGCAGCACATTTAACCCACTGGCTGAATGGAAGGTTACAAGAGAGAAGAGGGAATGCTTTTACTTAAGCCACCAACATGAAAAAATCTTGGTGTCTGTTAAAAAAAAAAAATAAAAGCACTGCCTGTGTTCAACAACAAGGTCTCACAGGCACTTTCTAGAGCAAAGCTACACTGCAATGCACAGGGCTGCCTTGGATTAAACACCATGTTCACCTGAGTTTGTAAGAGCAAGAAAGAACTGAGTGCAGAGGGAAGGACAATTCTCTCCTCATACCTGAGTGGTCTTGTGGATGTAGCGGCGTATGATGTCTCTAATGTTGCTGTTCTTCTCTGTTTGGAAATACACAGTGGCCGTGGATTTCTCCTTTAAATAGGGTTTCTCTGCAGTAATCCACGTGTGGAGCAGAGCCGGCTCACTGCTGTCAGAAATGGTGGGGAAGTAGGTCCCCGACGGCAGCGAGCCGGCGTCGTTCTGCTTCGGCGCGGCTGCCCCGTCGGCAGCCGGGGACTCCTGTGCATAGTAAGACTCGCGGGCGTTATCCTTGATGTACTGAGCCTCCACCGAGGAGAGGAAATCCACCTCACCCTCTTTGCTTAGAGCTTCCAGGTAAGAGTCTGTCCCACCATCCAAGAAGGCGTCGGTGGCCAATCTGATGCTTTCGTTGTGGCTGAAGTCCACTTTTGTCAACTTCAGGGACTGGTTCTTGATATCCTCCAGCCTCTTCTTTATCTTGCCCATGTGTCTGGGGTGGTTCATGGCTCTCTGTCGCAGCAGCCGATCTGCAGGGCAGGCACCATGCATATGCGTGCCATAGGCAGGGCAATCGTCCTTCTTGTTTGAGGATTGCATTCTGGCATGAAATTGCCTCGGCTGAACGAATTAACTATGAATAAAAATAAAGAGATCTTATTACCACAGGCAAATTCACACTCCCTGAATTTGTCTCTACAATTATCTTCAAAACGAACCTGAAGCTTGCTTCTCAGGTGCTGGTGTACTCCGGCAACAATCTGTTTCCAGATGGGACACAAATGCAAAGCTGATTAGATTGCTTATCTGAGAGGCACCCACCTCAGCCCCAGGGCATACGAAGAATTCGAGTCAAATTTACCACGGCCGTCGGATTCGATTGTATTTCCCTTCCTGTCGCATCCTGTGAAATATGAGTGAGGAAAGCACTCAAGCAAAAGCAGGTAGGCTCCCAAGCATCATTGCACAATCTTCAAAACAGCTTGAGGCTTCTCTGTCTTCCCATAGTATTCGTTAGGGAGAAAAAACAGCTCCGATGGTGAACTGGAACAGAGACAGCAGCCATGTCCATGGCTGCAGAACAGCAAAAAGGGTCATGGGCTCTGTTCTGCACCTACATGCTGCCAGGCAGGCTTAAAAATAGATGTGAACTTCGTCACTGTGCCCCGTCCGGAGTATGGTGCTATTACCACAGACGATTCACTCACTTATTTCTTTAAAGCTTTGTGACTACGCCACCCTATTAAAAGCAAAATACCCCTTCCCAAACATCCTGAATATTACGTGGAGGGAGGGTTGTGAGCTGGCCTCAAAGCATCAGAAATACAAACACTCATCACTTGATTGTGCACATTTAAGGCTTTTTTTTTTTTTTTTTTATTTTTCCCAGGCTGCAGCTTCTGGAGTCACGTTGCCCCCGTGGCAGCTCCGTGCTGTGTCATTAGGGGGATGGAGCGCGGGTGACAGCCCGGGGGCAGCCGGGCCGGCCGGTCTGGCCGAGGGAGGCGGGGCCGCAGCTGCCCCGGGTGTCCGTCCGTACCTGCGTGCGTGCCTGGCTGCAGCGCCACGCGTGACACACTTCCCGCGCCCGGGTGGGCTGGCCTGGCCCCTGGGGCTGCCCCGTGTCCGTGCCACGGCTCCACAGGGATGCGGGATCCGGGGAGTGCCGGCCCGGGCTCGTGTGAGGGCGACTGGGGCCGTGAGGGGCAGGGAGAGGGTCCCGCCACCCTGGCCTCGGCAGCACGGGCGTCTTCAGGGACAGCTTTTCACATTCTGGGTCTATGTCAGGTGCCCTATGGGGTGGGGGAAAAAAAAAAAACACACGTAAAGATGAGACAAAGATGTACGAAACACAGAAGAGTATGAAAAGGCTCGGATATTAATCCCGGAGCGACCACGTGGGGCCGAGAAGGGGCGGTGGCGGGGCCGGCCGGAGCTTCTGGGGTGATTTTAAAAACTACCCCGACCCTCCCTCCGCCCCCAACATCCGCCCGCAGCTGCCAGACGCGGCCGAAAGTCACTAATTATCTCCTGACCTGTTCTGCGCAATTAGGGCGAAAATGATGCCATCTAATTACCCTGACAGGCAGGACTGTGCCCTGCCAACGCCGATCGGGGCCAGGGACGGCCCTCCCCTCCTCGGCCACCTCGATCTCTCATGGTCACCCCGGTGTCCCTCAGGGCCTGCCTGGTTCCCCACACGGGCACGGCGGGGCTCCTCACAGGTTATACTATGGGGCCTCACAGTGTCACCCTAGCGCAGCCCCGCTGTCACGCTGCGGTCCCACATGATCACTGCGAGCCCCCGCACGGGCAGCACAGGACCCCGCCCGCTGTGGGCGGAGGAAGGGCCGGGTCGGGCCGGGCCGAGCCGTGTCCTCCCGTGGCCCCGGCAGGGAGCGAAGCCGGTGGTAGGACTAAGAGCTCTCACGGAGGGCAGTGTTTCAGCCGCCTCGTTAGCGCAGTAGGTAGCGCGTCAGTCTCATAATCTGAAGGTCGTGAGTTCGATCCTCACACGGGGCAAAGGCGGGCAGCACTTTTGCTCTCGTCCGCACTTTTAGCGGTGACAAACTGGCCCGACACCGCGCCCCGAGCCGGTCCGTGACTCCCGAGCCGTGCTCGTCGTGATTTCCGAAGCGGCGGTTCCAGGTCCAGGGCCTGTCTCTGCCGGTGCTGGGCCCGCGGAAATAACTCCTGCGGTTGTTCTCGCTTTTGGCAGCCCCTGGGCTGTCTCCGAGCCCTGCAGGGCTGTGGGCACCGGCAGTGGCTCCTGCGGTGGGCAGCGGGCACACCTGGGGTCGGGCTGTGGGCAGGGACCGTCCCGGCTGAGGGCAGGGCCCAGGAGCTGCTGTGGGGACACGGCCGGACACCGGCCCCGCCTGCGAGAAACGCTCCAGTTTATGCACATTTACAGCTTTACCCTTTTACAAATCATACACACACAGCCCATGCTGCTGGCCAAAACCTCAGTGGGTTTATTTCCCTTTAACTGTAAGAAATAATTATATGTAAACTCCAAGAAAATAATCAGAAAAAGCCAATTTTTCTCATCTACTTCCTCTGCCTCTGAGATGATCCTGGCTTGTTGCATTTTTCTCCCTTTGAAAAGGAATGATGCCTCTTCTCCACACTCTGCTGAGGGCTGCAATGAGATTTCTATGGATCCTGGTTGCTGCTAATGTGACTCTTTCTACTTCCAGATGCAGAGGATGTTAAGGTAAGGAAAATCAGGTAGCTTTGTGCTTTTAGGTTTTCATGTAATTTAACGAGCAGGAGAGAGGCTGTTCCCCGCCCCAGGTGACAAAAAGCTGCAGGTCAGGGGTATCATCCTGGGTCTGCCCACTGCCTCAGCCCCAGGGCCAGCACAAGCGTCCTGCTCCCATTCTGCTGCCCCAAAGAGCATCACCAAAACCCCAGAGGAAGCAGAACAAATTAAGATCCCAGTCCTCATATTTTTACAGGGCCAAGTCTACCCCTGTATCAGCATGGTGTGTAGCAATTATGGATGATTCACTTTAATTTACTTTGCCCTATTCCCTTTTACTGTAACACCACATAATGTTCTTGACTTGGGTCAAAAGCATTAGCCATCAGTACCACAAGCACTATGGAGAGCAAGGTATTTGTTCAGATCCTCTATCCCTTTCTTTCTCATGGAATGAACTTGCTAATATGTGTAACAACTACATGCATCTCCAGCAGCAGGTGCTCCACATCCACTCTGGGCCTTGGTTTCAGTGTTTGGCTCTCACTGGAAAGGATTCTTTTCTCTGATTGCAGATTTCCCTGCTGCAACTTGTAGAATCCACTTTCACATCACTGACAAAACCAACATTTTAACAGTGGTTTGTTTCTTCAAGTCAGGGCAGCCACCAAAAAAATAAGAAATATACAAATACTGCACATTCAGTAACTTAATGGTAAAAAATTAGTTTATTTTAGAAGTAAAAAATAACAACAAGGTTACAAACAAAAGACATATTTTCTAGCTAGGATTTTATTCTTATATAAAAATATCTCCAAAGGCCTTTAATAAGTCTATGATCCATCTTGAATCACACTATACACACTATACACAGTTAGCTTTTCACTGATTAATAATTTGAAGGTGCAGCTAAAGGCGCAGTGCAAGTCCCCTCAGGGTGAGCAGGCTGTGGCGGGGAAGGGGCTGCAGGGAGCCCGGCCCGGGCCCGTGAGGCGATCCTGCGTCTGAGGCGCCGCACCTCGGCCATCAGCTCCCGCTCCCGGCGCGCCAGCTCGGCCCGGCTCCTGCCTAAGGACAAACAGGGCAACAAACTTAGCACTGCAACTGCTGCTTTTCCATAAGCACTACAAACACCTGCTGCAAAACAGACATGTGTGGCAGAGAAATGCTGGCTTTCAGTACCCCTGGATGTGAGGCAGCCCTCAGACTCGTGAGAGGAAGTTCTGTGAAAGCAGTGCCTCTGTTGGCTACCAGGTCAGATGCTAATGGGGGCCACAGCAGGTCCAGAGGTTCCCACTGCCTGCAGACCTTTGAACACAAGGTGCATTGGAATTGAAAGTGCTTTCACTGTCAGATTAGCTAGGACAGACCAGAGGAAATTAGACTCATTCTTGACTAAAACTCCCAGTCAGATTTTGATGAAAGACAGCTCTACAGCCTCTCAACATTCCCAAATCATAAACAGCTATGAAGACAGGAAAAGCATGGGCAAGATGATCAGGTCAAAATGCAACTAAATTAGGCTGAGGTTTACAAGGACCACTCTCATAACATGACACACTTCAGGCACTTCTTACCTACGCCATCCCTGGGAGCAAAGACATTTTCTGCAGGTGAAAGAGAACACAACAATAAACTGGTTTTACTATCCACTAAACACCTACACAGCTAATGGCTCAATCACAGAGCTGGGTGTTCCAGCAATGCTCTGAAACCAAATGTGAAAGACACTCCTAACTTAAACACTTACTGCGTAGTGATGATGCTAATGTAGACAGATCACTGGGAGAGATGTTTCCAGACCCTGGCACCTGCTGGACTTCCACCCCTCTCTCTGTACACCTGGCCTTTAAATCATGCAGTCTCTCTGTGGGAAATGGAAAGAAGGGTTCTTTGTAAATTAAAAATATTGAAGTTTCAAGTGAATTTTTCTAGCTGGAGGTAAAACAGTTTCTCTCCAGGAAGCAAAGCTAGAACAATCACCCACTCCAGTTAATGGCAAGTACAATTTGCTCAGAATTAGAGGTCAATGTTTCTACTCTTCGGGTCAAAGCTATGCATCACAGCATTTCATTTTAAGGAATTACAGCTCTGTAATTTCATTAATTTCTTAAAATTCCCTTCAAGAAATTACAGCTCTTTAAGAAATTACATGTGCTGTTTCTTCCTATATAATTAATCTTCTGACAAACAAGCCACTAAGATCATATGGAATATGGCTACTCATGCTTGTAGTTTTAGGAGCCACCCATTTTAATTATGCACAGTTGCAAAATACTTCATACTAAGACATTAAGTAAATAAGGACAAAGGCTGA